TTTGTTTTTATATTCATTTGGTTTTAGTTTTCCCAGAGAGTTAAAATATATTTTTGGTAAAAACTAAAATATAAGTATGAATTTGAAGACATTTCAGCTGTATGTATCAGATTAACTCAGTTAAGTATTTTAATACTTGCTTTTAGTGTAATATGCTAGGCACCATAGTAGAATTTTTAGGATATGATTTTTATAGTGTAATAAGTAACAGCCTGTGCTGAGTAGCTGAAATTCCTGAGTAGCAGAATTGGGAAGGAGATAAATAATAATCTTTTTTTTTTTTTTTTTGAGACGGAGTCTTTCACTGTAGCCCAAGCTATAGTGCAGTGGCATGATCTTGGCTCACTGCAATCTCTGCTTCCTGGGTTTAAGCAATTCTCCTGCCTCAGGCTCCTGAGTAGCTGGGACTACAGGTATGTGCCACCACACCCAGCTAATTTTTTTGCATTTTTAGTAGAGACAGGGTTTCACTACCGTCCAGGATGTTGTCCAGGATGGTCTCAATCTCCTGACCTCGTGATCTCCCTGCCTTGGCCTCCCAAAAAATAAATAATAATTTACTTAATATACATTTTCCTTAAATTGAAATTTTTGTCTTATATTTTGGGGATCACATTTCAGTGTCTAATCAGGAATTGAAAAATTGCTTTGTTTTAAAGTCAAATTGAAAAGGATATTTGCTCGTGGCTAGGACCACCAATAATAATCAATAATTATTTTCAATAAAAAAGAAGCTAGCATAAGGAATTTGGTTTTTTTTTTTTTGTTTTTTTTTTTAAGAGATGGAGTCTTGCTTTGTCACCCTGGCTGGAGTGCAGTGGTGCAATCTTAGCTCACTGCAACCTCTGCTTCCCAGGTTCAAGCAGTTCTCTGCTTCAGCCTCCTGAGTAACTGAGATTACAGGCACCCACCACCATGCCCAACTAAGTTTTATATTTTGAGTAGAGGCAGGGTTTCACCATCTTGGCCAGGCTGGTCTTGAACTCCTGACCTTGCGATCCACTTGCCTCGGCCTCCCAAAGTGCTGGGATTACAGGTGTGAGCCACCATGCCAGGCCATGGAAGATTTTTTTTTTTTTTTTTTTTTTGAGACGGAGTTTCGCTCTTGTTACCCAGGCTGGAGTGCAATGGTGCGATCTCGGCTCACCGCAACCTCCGCCTCCCGGGTTCGGGCAATTCTCCTGCCTCAGCCTCCTGAGTAGCTGGGATTACAGGCACGTGCCACCATGCCCAGCTAATTTTTGTATTTTTTAGTAGAGACGGGGTTTCACCATGTTGACCAGGATGGTCTCGATCGATCCATCCGCCTCGGCCTCCCAAAGTGCTGGGATTACAGGCTTGAGCCACCGTGCCCGGCTATGATTTTTAAAATGATTAAATAGCAAATAGTTTAAAATGTAAAATCTTGAAGTATAGTTTCCTAGTAAGTATGCCATGTGTGTTTATTTACCACCTGAATTATCACTTGCATTATTATTATTATTATTATTATTTTTGAGACAGAGTTTCGCTCTTGTTACCCAGGCTGGAATGCAATGGCACAATCTCGGCTCACCGCAACCTCCGCCTCCTGGGTTCAGGCAATTCTCCTGCCTCAGCCTCCTGAGTAGCTGGGATTACAGGCACATGCCACCATGCCTAGCTAATTTTTTGTATTTTTAGTAGAGACGAGGTTTCACCATGTTGACCAGGTTGGTCTCGATCTCTTGACCTCATGATCCACCTGCCTCGGCCTCCCAAAGTGCTGGGATTACAGGCTTGAGCCACCGCGCCCGGCCCACTTACATTATTAAACAGTAAAAATTTAGGTATATAGTTGCTGTTTTAAAAAGTATTTTCTTGACACATCAAATAGATATTTTTTCTAATGTAAGTTTTACTAATTGTTAACTAAGTATCTTTGCTTACATTTGCTAAATGGTTATGAATGTACTAAATACTTAGCATGTTGGGGTTTAAGGCTTCTGAGTTCTAAAATTCATTGAAAATGATTGGGATATTTTGTCTCTTATCTGTGAAATGAAACAGAATTGTAACAGAAAAAACCTGGTTTAAGTATTACACAGTTTTCTTCTGAAAACTCAATATTCTTTTTATGATGGCAATTGCACTGGGATTGCCATATTTTCTTTGCTTCCTATAGAAGAAGCTCTTATGCACTTGCAAAGAACATAAGGAGTCATGTCAGAGGTCAGCTATTTGAGTCCATTTTCCCACAGCCGCCTGGTGTGAGTGATCTTTTACTGTGTTTTAAAAAAATGGGCAAGGATTAGAGGGGATTAGAAAGAATATTACCCTCCTGAATATAGGCCCAAGGAACTAAGAGGAGAGAACCCAACCAGGCAGCAAATGGGCTTTGCTTGACCAGGACACAACCTCTGCTGCATTCCTTTAAGAAACTGAATGGGAAATGTTAAGTCCCCAAACTGGATTAGTAAATAATCTCATAGTTTGTGACATCTGCTAAAATAAATCGATGAGCAGACTACATTCCTACACTTTGAGAATAGAGCCAAAGGCATCAAGAATAAGAGTAATTAAAGATGGGCATTAAACTTAGTAAGTGTTGGAAAGGCACATTTTGAAAAATTATTTTAGATATGAGGAGTACATGTATATTGATTAAATAACTTAAGGCTCAAATTTTGAAACTACTACAGCTTTTTGTTTTTAAGAGTCTTCCTAGAGTCTTATGGCTTGTAGCAGTTTTACAAAGTGCTTCACAAATTCAGCTCTCCAATTTATGTTATCCCATTAGTTTGTATAATGACCTAAGGAACTAGAATTTGAAATGTGAGAATGTGTCTTTTGAGACACCACTGGAATTTTTTTTTTATATATTTTATGAGAGAAGTCAATATAGTTTGTATCTTTTGACACAATTTGATATTAAATTGTTTGGAACCAAAGAGATTATTTCAAACCTGTTCTAGAAGGGCAAGTGCATTCTGGTCTCAGTCTTTGGAGATAGTATTTAGCTAACTAAATATGTTTTTTAAGGTTTTGTTTTAAGTTGACTAATAGGAAAGATGATGTACAAATAGTTAATTTCATCTTTCCACATGTAATTAGTACATTTGGTTGGTATAGTAACTGTGATTGGAATGCTTTTGTTATAAATGATAATATTAGTACAAGTATTTTCATTAGGAGTTTAAGATAAAATTTATGTTCATATCTGAAGAAGAATTGATAAACTATAGCTTCTTTAACAGGAACATTAAATGCATCCTGCACTATGCTCTCTCGGTTGAATGCCTTTATTCAGGATGGCCCTGTGGTTTGTTTATGTCCTCCTGTTGTTCTCCTCACTCCCCAGTCTGTTCATCCACATTCTACCTGTCTTTAAATATCAGCTCAAATCCCATGAAGTGGTTTATTTCTAGACCCTAAATCATAATACTTCCTAAACATAGAGTTATCATATGACCCAGCAATTCTACTCCATGGTATTTACCCAAGAGAAATGAAAACAAATATTCACTCTGAAACTTACACGCTAGCATTCATAACAACATTATTCATAATAGCCAAAAGCTGAAAACAACCAAATATCTATCAGTTGATGAATGGATAAACAGAACATATATACCATACATACAATGCAATATTATTCAGCCATAAGAAGGAGTGAGGCACAAGTACCAGTGCATGCTACAAACTGGGTGAACCAGGAAAACATTATGCTAAGTGAAAGAAACCAGTCACAAAATGATTCCATTTGTATGAAATAATCCAGTATAGGCAAATCTATAGAGATATAAGATAGGTTAGTGGTTGCTTAAGGTGGGTGGGGGAATAGGAGAGAAGTGAGTTGTAACTAAAGGGTACAGGATTTTCTTTTGAAGTGATAAAAGTGTTCTAAAATTGACTGGTGATAGTTGCACATATTTCTGAATATATTAAAAATCCTTGAATTATATGCTTTAAATGGGTGAATTCTAAGGCATGTGAATTACATCTCAATAAAGCTGTTATTTAAAAACTAACTTTAAACAATTAATACCCTATCTGTATTCCTATATATTGTACATTGTTTATACCTCTAATAAAGCACTCAGCATAGTCTTGTTATAATTATTCACTTAAGAAATCTGTCTTTTCCATTGCATTATATAGCTCCAGAGAACAGGCAGGGTGTTCTTTGGTATCCCTAACAAGCATAGTGCTTGGAACTCAGTAAATATCAATTTAATTGAACTTTTCCACAATTAAGTTATTTTACCTATAAAATGTAGGAGAAAAAAGAATTGAATGTTGCCACAAATATTGTTCCAAATTTGGATATTGTAATTTTTTTTTTTTTTAGATGGAGTCTCACTGTCTCCTAGACTGGAGTACAGTGGTACAATCTCAGGTCACTGCAACCTTCGCCTCCTGGGTTCTAGCAATTCTCCTGCCTCATCCTCCTGGGATTACAAGTGTGCACCACCATGCCTGGCTAATTTTGTGTTTTTAGTAGAGACGAGGTTTTATCCTGTTGGTTAGGCTGGTCTTGAACTCCTGACCTCATGATCTGCCCACCTTGGCCTCCCAAAGTGCTGGGATTATAGGTGTGAGCCATTGTGCCTGGCCTGGATTTTATAATTTTTATATTTAATGCTTCCATTCAGTAGGAGATGGCTTACTTAAAAATTAAAAATAAATAAATTTTTTAAATATATGTAATTTTTACATTTAATTCCTCTTTGGAAAAATAAATACCTGCTCTCACATTATCTCCTCAGCTTGAGTTTCCATTTTGTATTTAGCCAGGCCACACATATCCACTTATCACCTTATTTTTACCTATAGAAATATTCTAGTTTTTATAATTTGCATATAGAAGCATTTTATGCACATGTTATCAATAGAATCTTCATGTCATTTTAATTAGTTTTTTAAAAATCAGTTTGACTTTATAACATTTTGAATCCGCATTTTTATGGGTGTTTGAATTTAACACAATTTAATTTTTCTCTTTTCTGTTGTGTGTATATGTGCGTATGTTACTCTTTCAGTATTTATTAGAGATGAAAAGTTTAATTTTACCTCCAGAATACATCCTGAAACGGGGTGATAGTGAAGCAATTGCTTATGCTTTCTCTCATCTTCAGCACTGGAAGCAAATAGAAGGTGCTCTTAATCTGTTACAGTGTACCTGGGAAGGCAGTAAGTATTCTTTTTCAAAAGTAACATTAATCTCTCTAACTATTCATTGCATTCACAGGCAGTCTTTTCAAATGAGATTGTCTGGTTTCCATAAAGATTTGTTGGTCAGATTGATTTTGAACGGAAATCAGTGGTGATATATTTGGTTTATTGGTAGAAATGCCTAATGTTATATTGATCCCACAAAAGCAGAATGAGAAACTGTTATGGTATTCTGCCATATATTCATTCAAGTTACATATTTGTAAGGAAAGAAAATGAAAACTTGGCCCTTTGACTTACAAGCTTTTTAATATGGTTGAACTATTCTAATATTTTAAAAATTGGTCTTTTTTTTGTTTTGTTTTGTTTTCAGATGTATATGACATGGAACTATTTTTTTCATAACTAATATCAAACTATTTTTTTATTTTATTGTAAAATATAATGTAAAATTGACAATTTTAACTTTTTTTTTTTTTTGAGACGGAGTTTCACTCTTGTTACCCAGGCTGGAGTGCAATGGCGCGATCTCGGCTCACCGCAACCTCTGCCTCCTGGGTTCAGGCAATTCTCCTGCCTCAGCCTCCTGAGTAGCTGGGACTACAGGCACACGCCACCATGCCCAGCTAATTTTTTTTTTTTTTTTTTTTTTTTTTGCATTTTTAGTAGAGACGGGGTTTCACCATGTTGACCAGGATGTTCTCTCGATCTCTTGACCTCGTGATCCACCCGCCTCGGCCTCCCAAAGTGCTGGGATTACAGGCTTGAGCCACCGCGCCCGGCAGTTTTAACTATTTTAAGTGTACACTTCAGTGGCATTATGTACATTCACAGTGTTGTACAAACTTCACCATTATCCATGTGCAGAACTTTTTCATTATCCCCAACTGAAATTCTATACCCACTAAATAATAAATAATAACTCCCCAGTCTCACCTCCTTCTAGCCCTTGGCAGCCACCATTCTACTTTGTCTCTATGAGTTTGACTAGGTACCTTATGTAAGTGGAATTATATAATTTTTGTTCTATTTTTTCTGGCCTTTTTCACTTAGCATAATATCTTTGAGATTTATTCATACTGTGTCAGAATTTCATTTTTAAGTCTGAATAATTCATTGTATGTATATACCACATTCTGTTTATCTATTCATCTGTTAAGGAACAGATATCCATTAAACTTGAGTTGTTTTTACCTTTTGGCTATTGTGAATAATGCTGCTACAAATATTGGTGTACAAATATCTGTTTGATTTCCTGCTTTGAGTTCTTTTGGGTATATAGGCAGAAATGGAATTGCTGGATCATAAAATTCTATGTTTAATTTTTTAAGGAAGCTCAGTAGTATTTTTCTTCATAGCAGCTGCACCATTTTACATTCCCACCAGCAAGGCAGAAAAGTTCCAATTTCTTCACGTCCTTGTTAAACTCTTGTTATTTTCTGTTTTTTCTTTTTTTAAATAATAGCTATCCTAATGGATGTGAAGTGGAATCTCATTGTGGTGGTTTTCCATTTCCCTGATGATTAGTGATGTTGAACATCTTTTCATGTGTTTATTGGCCATTTATAAATCTTCTTTGGAGACTAAATTGGATTGTTTTAAACTAATTAATTACTGGATCTCTTAATTGTTGCTTCTTATAACCACCAAGAAAGAGAAGAAGCTTAATTAAAACGTTTTACCAGTTATCCAACTGGTAAAATTATGTGAAAAGTTATCCAACTTTTCACATAATTCTTTTGAAAAGTACACCGCAACTATCAATAAAAATTCAAAAATAAAGTAAGTTCTTATTCACTAAAATTGATTAAACTCCCCTAATTCCCTAACTTTACTCTGAGGCACCTTGGATATTGCAGCAATTCACAAGGGTGCTGTAGAACATTTTAAATTTTCAGTGGAAACACAATACAATATTCAAGGCTAGGTACAGTGGCTCATGCCTGCAATTTCAGCACTTTGGGCAGCTGAGACCTCCCAAAAGGCTGAGGCTATACTGAGCCAAGATGGCACTACTATACTCCAGCTTGGGTGACAGAGTAAGAATTTGTCTCAAAAATAATGATAATAACAATTTGACATCTGTCATATATCACTTGAACTATTAGCTCCAGACAGTTCACAGTTTCAACATTAGATCAGTCTCTATTCCTTTCAGTATTATTATATCTTTGCCAAGCTGGAGTTTTGTTAGTTGCTGTGATTGAAACAAATGCCACACAAAAATCAATGTGAAATAGGAAATGAGGATGGTAGTGTACAATGATTCCAAGTTTTAGAAGTTGTGCAATGTCCAATAGGCTCATACCTGTATTTCATTAGTAAGAAAGTATGGTTATTTAAAAATGAAATAAGAAAATTGATTTATTGACTTTTTCTTTCAATTTATGTATACTATTTTCCAAATAGCTGCCTAAATTATTAGAACATAAATTTTTTAAGTTGTTTGGACTCACTATTAACAAGTGAAATTGTCTTCATGTATTCTTGAACCAATTTGGGAACCTCTGCATTAACCATTTGCTAAAGGCCAGACGCTCTGCTTGATAATGACAATAATAAAACTGATGAGCCAAGTGTGGTGACTCACACCTGTAGTTCCACTAGGGAGGCTGAAGCAGGAGGATCACTTGAGACCAGGAATTTGAGACCAACCTGGGCAACATACAAGACTCTCTCTCATATACATATATATATATATATATATATATATATATATATACACACACACACACACACACACACACACACACACATACACACACATACACATATATATGTATTTGTTTTTAAAGAAAATATTACTAAAATTGGAATTATATACTTGAGAAACTGAACGTCTTTGAGTAATTCAGCTTACTTTTGCTTTTTCTCCAGTAGTGCATAAGCTTCTCAAAAGCAGATATTCTGTCTCATTCATTTTGTATGTGTCTTCACTGCCTGGCATTCTGCTTGGCAAATAGGTTTTCAATAAGTGCATGATTTTATTTTATTTTATTACTTTTTATGTAGAGATGGGATCTTGCTCTGTTGCCCAGGCTGGTCTTTGAACTCCTGGCCTAAAGCAGTCCTTCCACCTTGGCCTCCCAAAGGAGCAGGGATTAGAGGCATGAGCCATTGTGCCCAACCATATGATTTATACTGTATTTCATGAATCATGATCAATTATTTATTAGTGTTACCACTAAATTGCTCTGTGACTTTGGACAAATAACTGTGGTAAAATAAGGTCTAAATTATGACAAAAATTTATAGTGCCAAACACAAAAGGAAAAACAAAAACCTTATCACAATTTTGATGACTACAGCAGGCTCTCAAGTAATATCGTTTCATTCAACATTATTTCATTATAATGTTGATAAGAAAAAACAAAAACAAAAAAAGCAACCCAGATTCCCAGCCAGGGCCACTGTCTGTATAAGGTTTGCAAGGTATTCCCATGTCTGTGTGGGTTTCCTCTTACATCTCAAAGGTGTGCACATTAGGTTAACTGTTGTTTCTAAATTATCTCAGTATGAGTGAGTGTGGGGTGTGTGTGAGTGGTATACTGGAATGGTATCCTGTCCATTCCAGTGGGTTCCTCCCTTGCACTCTGGGCTGCCAGGATAGGCTCTGGGCATGCTTGACCCTGAACTAAAAGAATTGGGTAAATAATGATCCTGTTTTTATGAATCTTTCTTAAACGTATGTATAGCTCACATTTATTTCAGTGTTTTAAGAAGTGTTTTGGATCTTTATTTAGAAGTTTGGTGCTGTTTTGTGACCAAGGAACCTAACTCTTGTTTATATCAGTTAGCCTATGGTAAAATTGATTTTATTATATGACATTTCGCTTAAAGTCAGTTTCCAAGTAACTATCTAAAATGTTAAGGATTTATGTACTTAGCTAATGGAATAGATCAATAAGGATTTCTTCTTTAACAAATCTACAAGAGTTGGTGATAATCTAGATCAGGGGTGGGCAAACTTTTTCCGTAAAGCGCTAAATAGTAAATATTTTAGACTTTGTGGGGCAGTCTTTTTTTTTTTTTTTTTTTTTTTGAGAGGGATGCCAGGCATACAGTCTTTTACACAGCTATTCAATTCCTGTAACATGAAAGCAGCCTTAGGCAATATGTAAATGAGTGGCATAACTGTGTTCCAATAAAATTTTATTTACAAAAACAGATGGTGGGCCAGACCTGGCCAAAGGGCCATACTTTGGTGACCCGGATCTAGATTAAGATCTGCTCATAGAAAGCTTTGGTGAGGCTGGGCATGGTGGCTCATGCCTATAATCCCAGTACTTTGGGAGGCCAAGGTGGGCAGATCACCTGAGGTCAGGAGTTCAAGACCAGCTTGGCTAACATGGTGAAACTGAGTTTCTAATAAAAATACAAAAAATTGGCCAGGCGCGGTGGCTCAAGCCTGTAATCCCAGCACTTTGGGAGGCCGAGGCGGGTGGATCATGAGGTCGAAAGATCGAGACCATCCTGGTCAACATAGTGAAACCCCGTCTCTACTAAAAATACAAAAAACTAGCTGGGCGTGGTGGCGCGTGCCTGTAATCCCAGCTACTTAGGAGGCTGAGGCAGGAGAATTGCCTGAGCCCAGGAGGCGGAGGTTGCGGTGAGCCAAGATCGCGCCATTGCACTCCAGCCTGGGTAACAAGAGCGAAACTCTGTCTCAAAAAAAAAAAAAAAAAAAAAAAATTAGCTGGGCATGGTGGTACGCACCTGTAATCCCAGCTACTTGGGTGGCTAAGGAAAGAGAAACACTTGAACCTGGGAGGCAGAGGTTGCAGTGAGCCAAGATCACACCATTGCACTCCAGCTTGGGCAACAAGAGCACAACTCCATCTCAAAAAAAAAAAAAAAAAAAAAAAAAAGCTTTGGTGAAACTCACATGTGAAGTTAGGAGTCATTGAAAACTATTTTAGGTTGTCAATAGTAATGGCCAGTTATACACATTGCAGTCATATGACAATTTCTGTAAGAAGCAGAATTAGTAATTCTGCTTTGGAATTATCAGTAGTGTTTGTAATGAGGAGACTGAAGCAAAGAAGGACCCAGCCAGTTTCATCTACTATTCCCTGTAGTTTTACTGTAGCCAGACTAGGCTATTCACTACTATCTAAATCTTATCCTTCCCTTTATTCATTATTTTGCTTACTTTGTTTCTCGTATCTAAGACGTCTCACTAAAAATAAAATAAAATAAAATAAAATGTGAAATTTTTATATAAATTTGTCTCCAAAATAGCTTTGATCTATAGTATAGGATGGCAAATAAGACAGAATTGAGTATCAACACTTGCTTTCTTTTCTCAGCTTTTAGAATGACTCCACACATCAGAGAAAGGACATCTATTTCACCCTTACCCTAGCTGCACAGAGACGACTGATAGAGAGCTATTACCTCGTAAGTAAATATTTTAGTTTTCCTAAACTTAAAAATAGTTTTAAGTTTAAATTGTTTATCATAGTGTTCTCCATTTTAAAAGTGCCTTTGGTTGAAATTCAAGACACTGTTTAAATACTATTTTAGCCACTTCTGGGACATAGTTGTATAATTTATTTTGTTGAGCAAAAGCGTGTGCTAGATGCAACAAAGGACATCAAGATTAAAGATACTAAAAAGAACTGTCGTCTTACAAACCTTGAGAAAAGAAATAATGCCAATCCTTCACAAACTTTATGGTACAAAAAAAAAAAAAAACACTAAAACAACAGCCCTTATGAATAGAGACGTAAACATCTTCAACAAAATATTAGCAAACTGTATCCAGCAACGTATAGAAAGGCTTATATACCATGACCAAATGGGATTTATCTCACTAATGCAAGTTTGATTTAATATCTGAAAATGTAATGTACCATGTTAATAGAATAAAGCACAACAGATCCAGGAAAAAGGCATTTGACAAAATCTGGCTCTCATTCAAGATAAAAAGAAAAACTCTCAACAAACTACAAATTGAAGGGGACTTTCTCAACCTGATTTAAAAAAAAAAAAAATCTCTGAAAAACCCACATTTAACATACTTAATGATGAAAGACTGAATGCTTTCCCCCTAAAATCAGGAATAAGGCAAGGATATCTGTTGTCACCACTTTTATTCAATATTACACTAGAGGTTCTAGCTGGTGTTACCAGGCAAGAAAATAAATAAGAGGCATTCATACTGACAAGGAAGAAGTAAAACTCTCCTTATTCACAGATGGCATGATCTTCTATGTAGGAAATCCATGAAAATACTCTTAGAACTAATAAATGAATTCAACAGCGTTGTAGAATATAAGATTAATATACTAAAATTAATTGTATGTCTATGTTCTAGCAGTGAACAATCTGAAAATGGAATTTGGAAAACAATACCAATCATAGTAGCAACAAAAAGAAAAACTACTTAGAAATAAATTTAACAAAAGAAATATAAGATGTGTACACTGAAAACTGTAAAATATTGCTGAGAGAAATTAAAAGCTAAATGGAGTGACACTTGATGGATTGGAAGACCCAATTTTTAAATTTATATATTTATTTATTTATTTATTTGAGACCGAGTCTCACTCTTGCCTAGACTGCAGTGCAGTGGCACAATTGCAGCTCACTGCAACTTCCACCTCTTGGATTCAGGCAATTCTTGTGCCTCAGCCTCCCGAGTAGCTGGAATTACAGGTACGTGTCACCATGCCCAGCTAATTTTTGTATTTTTGGTAGAGACAGGGTTTTGCTATGTTGTCCAGGCTGGTCACAAACTCCTGGGCTCAAGCAATCCACCTGCCTCAACCTCCCAAAGTGCTGCGCCTACAGGCATGAGCCATGGCTCCTGGCCCCAATATTATTTAGATGACAGTTCTCTCCAAATTGATCTATACAGTCAATACAGTCCATATCAAAATCCCAGGAGGGATTTTGCAAAAAAAAAAAGTTACAAGCTTATTCTAAAATGTATATAGAAAGGCAAAGGACCCAGACAATCTTTATGAAGAAGAACGATGTGAAAAAGAGCAGTCAAAGAACCAGAAGGAGAACCAGAAATATGTAACAGGATTATGATTGCTGATAGTGTTTCAGTCTAGTTCCTGCTTTTAGGAAGCCAGACTTCTCAAAAGAATGGTCTACACTTTGTGTCTCAGTTGCCTTATCATCTGTTCTTCTTTTCTGTAAACTAGTAAATTTCTGTTTTAACTTCTCTTTTTATGATTTAGCTGAGAAGCAATCATACCAAAGGTTATAAACCCTTGGACCATGTTTTCTTATATGATATAAGCCTGTGCTACAGTTTTTACAATACTGAGCCATTAGAACTTAAGTCTAGGAAGGAAAGTTGCAGGTTTACAGCCATCTAACTTAATTTGTTGAAAAGTTTAAACGGATAAATGAAAATTTAGAAGGAGAGATTATGGCAAATTTAGTATGCTGGTGTTTTTCTTTTAGTGTTTTTTAATTTTCCTTTATCTGCTAAGTGATCTCTTTCTTCTCTGAATTCTTTTGTCTTTTTTTTTTTTTTTTTTTTGAGGCGGAGTTTCGCTCTCGTTACCCAGGCTGCAGGCTGGAGTGCAATGGCGCGATCTCGGCTCACCGCACCCTCCGCCTCCTGGGTTCAGGCAATTCTCCTGCCTCAGCCTCCGGAGTAGCTGGGATTACAGGCACACGCCACCATGCCCAGCTGATTTTTTGTATTTTTAGTAGAGACGGGGTTTCACCATGTCGACCAGGATGGTCTCGAACTCTCGACCTCGTGATCCACCCGCCTCGGCCTCCCAAAGTGCTGGGATTACAGGCTTGAGCCACCGCGCCCGGCGCGTCTTTTTTTTTTTTGAGACAGAGTTTCGTTCTTGTCGCCCAGGCTGGAGTGCAGTGGCGCTCACCTCACTGCAACCTCTGCCTACTGGGTTCAAGCGATTCTCTTGCCTCAGCCTCCAGAGTAGCTGGGATTACAGGTTCGTGCCACCATGGCTAGCTAACTTTTGTATTTTTAGTAGAGATGAGGTTTCACCATGTTGGCCAGGATGCTCTCAATCTCCTGACCTTGTGATCTGCCCGTTTTGGCCTTCCAAAGTGTAGGGATTACAGGCATGAGCCACTATGCCTGGCTTTTTTTTTTTTTTTTTTTTTAAATATCCTTCTCTGAATTCTCAAAGTGTTTTGTGTATTTGTTTACTTCTTAATCTCCCCTTTTAGATTGTAAACTCCTTGAAGGCCAGGATTCTCTTTATTGTTCCTGGATGGAGTTTCTGCTCTTGTTGCCCAAGCTAGGGTGCAATCTCGACTCACTGCAATTTCCACCTTACGGGTTCAAGCAATTCTCCTGCCTCAACCTCCCGAGTAGCTGGGATTACGGGAACCCACCACAATGCCTGGCTAAATTTTTTGTATTTTTAGTAGAGATGGGGTTTCACCATGTTGGCCAGGCTGGTCTCAAACTCCTGGCCTCAAGTGATCTACCCGCCTTGGCTTTCCAAAGTGCTAGATTACAGGCATGAGCCACTGCACCTGGCCATTGTTCCTATATCTCTTATAATGGTTACCATAAAAATTGGTATTCAATATATATTGGTTGAATAAATCAAATTCATTAATTTATTCTTATAAACATGGCTGGCACATTGTAAGTACTTAACTAAAATGCCAAATATTAATAGCTTTTCCCTGTCATCCTATTCTGAACTCCTAAACTGCTAACAAAGTTGATAAAAAGATGACGGATGGTCAGGTGCAGTGGCTTACATCTCTAATCCCAGCACTTTGGGAGGCTGAGGCGGGTGGATTACCTAAGATCAAGAGTTTGAAACCAGCCGGGTCAACATGGTGAAACCCCGTTTCTACTAAAAATACAAAAATTAGCCAGGTGCGGTGACACATGCCTGTATGCCTGTAATCCCAACTACTCAGGAGGCTGAGGCAGGAGAATTGCTTGAGCCCAGGAGATGCAGGTTGCAGTGAGCCAAGATTATACAACTGCACTCCAGCCTGGCCAACAGAGCAAGACCATGTCTAAAAAAAAAAAAAAAAAAAAAAAAAAGCCTGGCACAGTGGCTCACACCTGTAATCCCAGCACTTTGGGAGGCTGAGGTGGGCTGATCACTTGAGGTCAGGAGATCGAGACCAGCCTGGGCAACATGGTGAAACCCCATCTCTACTAAAAAATAAAAAATTAGCCGGGTGTGGTAGCACATGCCTGTGATCCCAGCTACTCGGGAGGCTGAGGCAGGAGAATCCCTTGAACCCGGTAGGCAGAGGTTGCAGTTAACTGAGATCACGCCATTACACTCTAGCTTGGGCAGCAAGAGCAAAACTCTGTCTCGGGAAAAAAAAAAAAAAGGTGATGGACAGTCCAGGCTTGGTAGCTCACACTTGTAATCTTGTAATCCCAGCACTTTGGGAGGCTGACGAGGGGCAGATCACCTGAGGTCAGGAGTCTGAGACCAGCCTGGCCAACGTGGCAAAACCCCGTCTCTACTAAAAATAAAAAAATTAGCTGGGTGTGGTGGCGTGCCCCTATAATCCCAGCTACCCGGGAGGCTGAGGCAGGAGAATCAATTGAACCTGGGAGGCGGAAGTTTCAGTGAGCCAAGATCTGGCCACTGCATTCCAGCCTGGGCGACAGAGCAAGACTGTTTCAAAAAAAAAAGAGAGAGAAAGCTCTCGAAGGGAGGGCTTGGCTCTCTGGCTCTCTAGGAGGTCAAAAATGATTCTCAGTTCTCTGACTTGGATGACTTGGAGAATGGTCCATCTATCCTTTAGCAGTAGGAGGAGCTGGTTTGGGAATAGGGGTTGGAGAAATAAATAAATTGAAGCCTTGACTATGCTGCCTGTGTAACATCTCATCCATATATACATACATACCTGTATATGTGTATATATATGTACATATATAGAGATTTATATGCTTAAATATTTTCTTGTATAATCTACTTAACACATATACATAGAAGTCTATATTTTACATCTGTAATACATAAGATACATTTGTAAGTAATGTGTATATAATGTATATTATAAATTAAAATATTTATAATGAGTAAATGTTGTAAGCATACTTTGGGTATAAATAATAGGGAGCAACTTCAAACTAGTTTAAACATAAATGGGAATTTGTTGGAAGAACACTGGGTTATCAGAGAATTCAAAAGTAACAATTATATTTGGACTTTATAAGGGACTAGAACTAGGGACTAGAAAACCATTAGGATTTCCAGGAATCAGTTATCTGTATATCTCTGTCCCTGGCTGCTTTTTTTGGTTTTTCCTATTCTCACTTTCTTTTCCTCCCTCCCCAGCCCTATTTTCTCTTTCTGTGATCTGTCATTTCTGTTTCTCTCAGTGTAACCGCTTTATTCTTATATCTTTCTCTTTACAGTTTGGCTTTCCGTTCATAGACAACATGTGGCCAAATTTGAGGCCCCTATAGCCCTCTGTTTACATGTCGTCATTTCAGGCAAACAATACAGAATGATTAATATCTCAATCCCACTTTTTCTTTTCTTCTTCTTTTTTTTTTTTTTTTTTTGAGGCAAGATTGCACTCTGTCATGTAGGCTGAAATGCAGTGGTGTGATTATGGCTCACTGTAGCTTCGCCTTCTAAGTCTCAAAAGATCCTCCCACCTCAGCCTCCTGAGTAGCTGGGACCACAGGCACGTGCCACCATGCCTGGCTAATTTTCCTATTTTTGGTAGAGATGAGGTTTCACCATGTTGCCCAGGCTGGTCTTGAACTCCTGAGTACAAGTAATCTGCCTGTCTCAACAAGTGTTGGGATTACAGGCATGAGCCACTGCCCCCAGACTTAATCACACTTCTGTAACTTCTGGGAGAGAGAATCAGATTTATCCAGGTGTTTATTCCTTGTCCAGTCAGCTGTGGGCTAAGGACAGGATTAGGTTGTGTAAATAAAATTGCCAGTGGTCTTAATATCTCTTTCTCTGTACATCTCACAAAACAGACTTGGGAGTAATCATTTTGTAGATAGCAAAAGAAATCCTAGGCATAAATCACGAAGGAAAACTGTATAGAGTGAGAACTGAACTGAGGGTGGAACCATGGATGCACAAAAATATCTAAGGAATGAGTGGCAGAAAGACAGCTGAAGATTCAGTGAAGAGGTTGTCAGAGAGACAGGACAAAAACTAGAACTAGATATCCTAGAACTAAAAGGAAGAAGAAATTTCTAAGTGAGGAGGAATATCTGAGGTAATAGATAAGGTAAACACTAAGAAGAATCCATTGACTTTAGCAATTAAGGTGTCATTAATGAGAGTAATTTTATTTTCCTTCCTAAAGTCGTGGTGGTGGTAGTTCTTGTTGTCTTTCCATTTTAACAAGAACAAGTATATTTAAGGCAAAAGAATGGACCTTAAATTATGGAACATCAATATACAAGAATGTATTATATTAAGGTAACACATTTAGCCTAAAATAATGCCCTCCTTTGTAAATTATTACAAAGGTTATCTATTAGGACAATTTTACATAGTAATATGAATAAAATCAGAGTTATTATCATGTTGCCAAAGTCATAAGCTATAAGACCAAACTGCTTTTTGGCAAGCCTTTATTAATTCTAACTCCATATAGGGTGTAAACTCCAGAAGATAGGAGAGGGGGAATATGCTGGGGGGTTTTGTTTGATTATATTTTATGTTCTTAGAATTTTTCTGTCTCTGACTGTGATAGAATGAACAAAATATTAATAATATGGAGTTTTAATACCCATGAGTACTTAACATTTTTTGTTTTTAATTTTTCTTCAACCTTGATATGACTTACCACATTCTGGAATTTGCTTATGGACCTCATAAGTTCAGAGTTGAACTATTCCCCTAGTTCACATAGCTGTTTAGTCGTCTTTTATGCCTCCTGATAAATTTTTCTCTATAAGCCAGTGATGAAATTTAAACTTTCATTCCAAGGGAGTGTTTCTGTACTAGTCAGTCATCCATTATTTTGATGTATTAGCCAAACATTGACTGACAAATGAATCTACAGAAAACAATCCAAGAAGAAATAATTAGGTCTCTCCTACAGGAGAAAAATCTCCTATTTTAGGAAATTTCCTTACTAAAGCTATGCAGTTTTCTACCTTGTAAAGGGAGAATAATACTACTATCGATTAGGGTTATTGAAAAGAATTAAATAAATGAGCTAATATAAATTAAAGTTATTTATAAAACATAAAGTGCTATATAGGTTAGCTAATATTACTAACTTTGCTGTCCTGTATTTCCCATCTTTTTGAATACCAGGGTTTGTTTCTCTTGATTTGAAGTTAGGAAGAAGAAATTGGCCTCTCATGGCAGAGGGACAGGGCAAAGGGGCCTGCTGACTGGTTCTTTGGGTGCTGAAAATACAATGTTTCTACAGTGGCTAATGTTTCTAACTTTTCAAAATTCAGTTTTGATGTGCTTTTACTTTAAACATGGCTCAAGGTTCTAGAAATTTTCTGGATGTTTAATGAGTTTATATTTTGGTATATACTTTCTGAATATAGTATAATAAAAATAAAAATATAGTTGTTGAAGGAAGCTTAGATGTAATCTCTGTGAATCATTATGTTTTAAAAGTGAAATTTATAGCTGACCTTGGTTCAGCACAAAATTAGTCATCCCTTACTAATGCAGGATATTACATCAGGAATTCCTGGGTTAGTATCCAGCCCTAAGCAGAGAACTTCCCGGCCTAATGAAGTCCCAGAATAGCTCTCAGTTTAGCAGACATTTATTGAGCACCTACTGCATGTTAGGTACTCTAATAGGCTCACCTCAGTATTGTTATTCAAGTATTTTCAAATTTCAAATAAAATAGAAATACTTGAGTATAACTGATAATAAAATATCCAATCACTAGAAAAATAATAACTGAGTAAATGTGTAAATATGGTAATATAAGAAAATTTACTGTCAGAATCCTAGGCCTTTGATATTCTAGTTTAGTTTTTTTGTTTCTGTTTTTTTGAGATGGAGTCTCGCTCTGTCAGCAGGATAGAGTGCAGTGGTGTGATCTTGGCTCACTGTAACCTCCACCACTTGGGTTCTAGCGATCCTCCTGCCTCAGCCACCCAAGTAGCTGTGACTACAGGTGTGCATCACCATGCTTGGCTAATCTTTCTATTTTTAGTAGAGATAGGGTTTCACTGTGTTGGCCAAGCTGGTCTCAAACTCCTGACCTAAAGTGATTCACCTGCCTCAGCCTCCCAAAGTGCAGGAATTACAGACATGAGCCACACCATGCCTGGCCTACCTACTTTAGTTTTTACAGTGCTTAATGAAATGCCACATATAAAAACACATTAATAACTGGGTAAAATTATTAATTATGGTTCTAGGAAATCTCCAGCAACATGTCTGCCTCTTTCTACTAGTCTTTGAGCTTCCAAAGAACAAGAATTAATAACAACTCAAGGTCAGGCACAGCGGCTCACACCTGTAATCCCAGCACTTTGGGAGGCCAAGGCAGACTGATCTCTTGAGGCCAAGAGTTCGAGACCAGCCTGGCCAACATGGCATAACCCATCTCTACTAAAAATACAAAAAATTATCTGGGTGTGGTGGCCTGTGCCTATAATATCAGCTACTTGGGAGACTAAGGCACAAGAATCACTTGAACCTGGGGGCAGAGGTTTCAGTGAGCCAAGATTACATCACTGCATTCCAGCCAGGCAAGAGAGTGAGACTCTGTCTCAAAAAAAAAAAAAAAAAATTACAGCAACTCAAATTTATTTATTTAGAGAAGCTCTGTCTCCCAGGCTGGAGTGCACTGGCATGATCATAGCTTACTGCAGCCTCAAACTCCTGGGTTCAAGCTATCTTCCCACCCAGCCTCCTGAGTAGCTGGGACTACATATAGGCACACGCCACCATGTTGGGCTAACTTTCGTAAATTTTTAAAGAGATGGGGGTCTCAATGTTTTGCTTAGGCTGGTCTCAAATGCCTGGCTTTAAGCCATCCTCCTGCTTTGGCCTCCCAAAGTGCTGGGATTACAGGCATGAGCCACCACCTATAGCTACAACTCACATTTATTAAGCACTTAAAATGTTCATCATTACAACTCTCTATAGCAACTTCTAGAGGGTTTAGCAGCTTATTCAAGATCACATAGCTAATAAGTGACAAAGCTTTTTTTCAGAATCACCTCAGCATGACTTTGTGATCAATGCCCTTTCCCATGATGCAATCCTGTTCCCACACCCAGCACAGTTGTCTGGCTATTTAGATATGCTGATGTTGCAGTAAACAATGGATGACCGTCTTCTACCTTGTTTAGCCAGAGACTTTTCTTTCAAAAATTTTTTTTTCTTTTTTACTTTTTAGTTTTTAAAAAAAGATTTGTAGGCCGGGCGCTGTGGCTCATGCCTGTAATCCTAGCACTTTGGGCGGCTGAAGTGGGTGGATCATCTGAGGTCAGGAGTTCAAGACCAGCCTGGCCATCATGGTGAAACCCCATCTTTTTTTTAAAAAAAAAAAAAGACTTGTTGCCGGGCGCGGTGGCAAGCCTGTAATCCCAGCACTTTGGGAGGCCGAGGCGGGTGGATCACGAGGTCAAGAGATCGAGACCATCCTGGTCAACATGGTGAAACCCCTTCTCTACTAAAAATACAAAAATTAGCTGGGCATGGTGGTGCATGCCTGTAGTTCCAGCTACTCGGGAGGCTGAGGCAGGAGAATTGCTTGAACCCAGGAGATGGAGGTTGCGGTGAGCCGAGATTGTGCCATTGCACTCCTGCCTAGATAACAAGAGTGAAACTCCGTCTCAAAAAAAAAAAAAAAAAAAAAAAAGACTTGTTTACATGTTATTCTGAAATAAAATTGATTCTTACCAATTCTCCATTGCAGCTTTTCATCATGTTTCTGTTTACCCAAAGAGGGAGCTTCCTTTGTTCATCCATTTCACAGCAGGATTTTGCTCTTCTACAGCAATGATAGCCATCCTCACACACCAGTTTCCTGAAATCATGGGTATTTTTGTTAAAGCTGTAAGTATGATCTCAAGGACTTGTGTAGATTATTTCTAAAACACACAAGAAACCATCTCTGATCTGCTTATGCTAACCCAGCTGAGCAGTGGAAGATATTTGTTGTAAATTAAAGGAATTGATATGTAAAGTTGCTGCCATAACTATGTCAAACATAAATTTTCGTGATTTGAACTACTTCTGCTGCTTAAAAGTTTAAAAAATACAATATAAGATTATAACAATATAACATTATAAAGTTTGCTCTTATAGATCACTTTGGTGATAAACAGCCTGTGTTACTATCTTTGGTATTTTTTTTAATTCCCTATTTTGTAAACAAACCCTTTGATGTTTTTCATTTAAATGAAATCATTAGTTCTCAGGATTTGCTGAACTTTAAAGTCAAGAGCACAAGGATAGATAATAAGTACCTGAGGCAGGGGACGGATGAGACATTTGTCCCTAGGAACAGAATGTGCCTATGTCTCAAAGGTTCTCCAAGTTATTGTGTGTGCTTGTTCTTACTAACCTTCCCCAGACATGGATTACAACCATGTATAGATCTTTATTTTCATTTTTACCCTTTAGTTTTGAACTGCTTCGCCATTTCCTGAATCAGTTAATACTTGAGGACTGACATTAGAGCGGGTATCCCATCACTATTTACTCTTTGTATTTTTGAGACAAGGTCTTGCTCTGTCACCCAGGCTAGAGTGTAGTGATGCGATCTCACTGCAGCCTCCACCTCCTGGGTTCAAGTGTCCTCCCACCTTAGCACCGCCCCCCCGAGTAGCTGAGACTATAGGCACATGCCACCATGCGCAGTTACTTTTTGTGTTTTTTTGTAGAGACAGGGTTTTGTCATGTTGCCCAGGCTGGTCTTGAACTCCTGGGCTCAAGTGAGCCATCATGCCCAATGACTATTTACTCTTCTGTATAAACTTACTAATTAATGTCACTGACTCAAAGTACAATTAGCAAAGATAATTGCCTTTAAGTCTCTAAAGTCTGTCTCAAAAAAATAAAATGCGCCGGGCGCGGTGGCTCAAGCCTGTAATCCCAGCACTTTGGGAGGCCGAGGCGGGTGGATCACAAGGTCAAGAGATCGAGACCAACCTTGGTCAACAAGGTGAAACCCCGTCTCTACTAAAAATACAAAAAATTAGCTGGGCATGGTGGTGCATGCCTGTAATCCCAGCTACTCAGGAGGCTGAGACAGGAGAATTGCCTGAACCCAGGAGGCGGAGGTTGCGGTGAGCCGAGATCGTGCCATTGCACTCCAGGCTGGGTAACAAGAGCGAAACTCCGTCTCAAAAAAAAAAAATAAAATAAAATAAAATGCATCTTTCTTGGCATTTCTACCAGGTAATAAGAGTTAAAACCCAAAAAGAAAATGCTGATTAATATATTCCCCAAAATAAAAACACTGAGAACCATGGGCAAACTAGACCTTACTTGGTAATGTATTTTCTGTATTTTTCTCTATATGCCTCCATTCTAACTTGTTTCCTCAGAGTTTCTTTTTCTGCCTTAAGAATAGTTTATTTTGTGCCTTAAAGATTAGTTGGCTTTTTTCTGGCACCAGTGGTAAGAGCAGTGGTTTCCCTTTTTCCCTGAAGGTCAACCATATAATGTGTTAAGTTGCCACTGGCTGTAGGCCTAGGAGTCTGAGTCTGCACTTGATTCTGGGTCAAACTTCCAGAAGAATGACTTCCCACTGTTGTTCAGGAAGGATAGCTATTTGGTTTGGAGACTGACTATTCTATTTCTTTTTAGTATAAAATGAACACTTAGTGATCATACTCATAACTGTTATTTGCAATAGTGCTAATAGTTGAGTGAGTGCATCTCAAACTGAAATGACCTTACTATGTAATCTGGCATGGAATAAAAATGGACTAGAAAGAGAATTCCATCCATTTAATAGTAGGAAAGAAAAAGTGCAACTGTGTATGTGAGATCACAGGCAAGCAATGGGAGAGATGATTCTTGGATTTGTCTTAGGCAAGTGGAATGGGAAGGAAGTGGAATAGAGCAAGGAGGGAGATCTAGAATCTGGAATAGATATATAGCAACTGTTAATAGTGTATTTCCATGGGGTACTAGCCACAATTAATGTTTATAGTGTCTGCCTTTACCTAGGCTGTCACTAATGGCACCAGCAGAACCTCTTTTTTTTATTTTAAAATTTTAAAATTTTATTTTTTTAATACTTTAAGTTCTGGGGTACATGTGCAGATTGTGCAAGTTTGTTACATAGGTGTACATGTGCCATGGTGGTGGTTTGCTGCATCGATCACCCCATCATCTACATTAGGTATTTCTCCTAATGCTATCCCTCCCCAATCCCACCACCTCCTGCTATTCCTCCCCTAGCTCCCCACCCCCCAGGCCCTGCTGTGTGATGTTCCCCTCCCTGTGTCCGTGTGTTCTCATTGTTCAGTACCCACTTATGAGTGAGAACATGTAGTGCTTGGTTTTCTGTTCTTGTGTCAGTTTGCCGAGAATGATGGTTTCTTGTTTCATCCATGTCTTTGCCAAGGACTTGAAGTCATCCTTCTTTATGGCTGCATAGTATTCCATGGTGTATATGTGCCACATTTTCTTTATCCAGTCTATCATTGATGGGTATTTGGGTTAGTTCCAAATCTTTGCTATTGTGAACAGTGCTGCAATAAACATATGTGGCACCAGAAGAACCTTTATAATTACATAGCCTAAGTTCCTTAGCACTCCTCTAGCAGAGACTGAGAATGAATAATTACATATTTTAAAGTGGAAGCTTCTTTTTCAGACCAACAGTTATTGATATACTTTGGATTTCCAAGGGCAGGTTCCATGTAAGAGTTAATGGGAAATGACTGTCGTATGGGCAGTTTCCAGCTTTTTTTTTTTTTTTTTTTTTTTTTGAGAGATGGTCTTAACTCTGTTGCCCAGGCTAGAGTGCAGTGGCGTGATCTTGGCTCACTGCAACCTCTGCCTCCTGGGTTCAAGCAATTCTCCTGCCTCAACCTCCTGAGTAGCTAGGACTACAGGCACATGCCATAACGCCTGGCTAATTTTTGTATCTGTAGTAGAGCTCGGGTTTTGCCATGTTAGGCTGATCTCGAACTCCTGACTTCAGGTGATAACTCACCTTGGCCTCCCAAAGAGCTGGGATTACAGGGGTGAGCCACTGCGCCCAGCCAGTTTCCAGCTTATAAACACAATGTGTAAATGCCTTTATAGACAGACAAACAGCAAGGAAACTAGAGGCCTAAATTACATTTCTTCACCACTTCACAGAGTGTGCTCTATGCAGATGCTTTAGAATTACCATCACCCAGGAGCTCATTAAAAATTCATAACCTCAGGCACCACTGCAGACCTTCTCACACACACACACACACACACACACACACACACACACACACTCTTAAAGCTTCAGGAAACTTGCTGTACTCTAGTCCCAACATGGAGAATTTAGAACAGCAAGATAGTGCTGCCTTGTCAAGGAGGAGGCAGTATTGTAGAGTAGTTATGAAATAGACTGGGAGGGAGGCTGCTTTGCTTTGAATTCTAGCGTTGAAACATTGCCGTACGACCTCAGGTAAGTTACTTACCATTTTTTACCCTTAGTTGGAAAATGAGAATAATACTACCTCTGATGGGTTTTGGCGAGGGTTAAATGAGTTTGAAATACTCAAGTGTTAGGACTATGTCTACCCATAGTAAAAAGTAGGTCAGTGTTAGCTATTGTTGCTGCCTTCGTTGTCATCATCATCACGAAAATACAGCAGTAATGGGAAACCCTACCTCCATCTTATTTAATGGAGATATGTCCTGACAGTAAGCTCAAAATGCATTTTTTCCATAGACACTATAGTATAAATGGTGGTTGGGTATCATTTTGAAAACACTATTAGTAGTCCAGGTGCGATGGCTCTCATACCGGTAATCCCAACACTTTGGGAGGCCAAGGCAGGCAGATCACTTGAGCACACGAGTTCATGACCAGCCTAGGCAACATGGTAAAACCCTATCTCTACCATATATAAAAAAAATTAGCCAGGCGTGGTGATATATACCTGTGGTCCCAGCTACTCAGGAGGCTGGAATGGGAGGATTGCTTGAGCCTGGTGGGTGGAGGTTGCAGTGAGCCACATCTCACTATTGCACTCCAGCCTGGGCAACAGAGCAAGATCCTGTCTCAAAAATATGTGTGTGTGTGTGTGTGTGTGTGTGTGTGTGTGTCTGTGTCTGTGTCTGTGTGTTTTAGTACTGTGCCTCTGGTACATTATGTGTATGTGAAATATAGAAAGTAGAGAAATGCGGTGGCTCATGCCTGTAATCCTAGCATTTTGGGAGGCCGAGGCAGGCAGATCACTTGAGGTCAGGAGTTTGAGACCAGCCTGGCCAACATGGTGAAACCCCATCTCTACTAAAAATACAAAAATCAGCTGGGCATAGTGGCAGGTGCCTGTAATCACAGCTACTGAGGAAGCTGAGGCAGGGGAATCACTTGAACCCAGGAGGTGGAGGTTTCAGTGAGCCCCACATTGCACCAATGCACTCCAGCCTGGGTGACAGTGAGACTCCGTCTCAAAAAAAAAAAAGAAAGTGGAGAAATGTTTCACATTCTAGATATTGACAAACTACCTTGCAGAACAGAACCTGTTGGTAAGTTGCAAACTGTGTTAGGATTTCCAGTTAACTGAAATATTTTATAGCCAAATAAAGTAGAAATTGGTGAAGAGTCTTTTAGACATACTTGTTCTATTTCAGAAGACAGACTTTTTTCTTTTTCTTATTCTTTTTTTTTTTTCTTTTTCTTTTTTTTTTTTCTTTTTTTTTTGAGACGGAGTTTCGCTCTTACCCAGGCTGGAGTGCAATGGCGCGATCTCGGCTCACTGCAACCTCCGCCTCCTGGGTTCAGGCAATTCTCCTGCCTCAGCCTCCTGAGTAGCTGGGATTACAGGCACACGCCACCATGCCCAGCCAATTTTTTGTATTTTTAGTAGAGACGGGGTTTCACCGTGTTGACCAGGATGGTCTCGATCTCTTGACCTCGTGATCCACCCGCCTTGGCCTCCCAAAGTGCTGGGATTACAGGCTTGTGCCACTGCGCCCAGCCCAGAAGACAGACTTTTTAAAAAAATTCTAAATTTCTTTTTTATCATTATTTTTTTCTCATCTAATATCTTTTTGTAATAGTTCACATGCCAGAGCAAATTGAATTTGAATTTCTTAAAATGTATTTTTACAAACATTGCATTTTTGTGAGGCCAGGCACTGGGGACTGATTTTAAATTATTCTCACTGTACATTAGATTTAGAGAAATGAAAGGGAATGGACTAGACCAGCTAATGGTTTTAGTGCCTCTTCTTTTGCATGGTATCAGACTATGTGGAATAAGACTTCATTTCTAGCAAGTTAAGATTTTTTTCCCCTGATTTTTCTCCTGGCGGAGATGAAAACCTAGTCTGACATTAGACATAGAGCAATGAAAAAGTGTTGCATAAATCCCTGGAGATGTGGAATGTGCTTATATCAGAGCTGATATTCTCTAAGGCCAGAATTCCTGAAAAAGGAAAAATTGCTTTTAAGTGGTAGGTCATTTTCTCACCTGCTTTGAAGCCTGCTGGATTAAATATGAGAGTTCAAAGTAAGGGTAGCCAGCAAACCAACTGAACTGGAATCTGATTCTGCTTATCTGAAAGGAGCTTCTTTATTTAAGAACAGCACT